TTGCGCGCTCCAAAACAATTCATGTAATTGTAAATTGATTGTACGTTTATCGTAATATATATATATATATATATATATATATATATATATATATATATATATATATATATATAATATATATATAATTATATATATATAAATATATAAATATACATACATATATATATAATATAATATAATGATATAATTGCATATATATATACATACATATATATATATAATATAATATAATGATATAATTATATATATATACATACATACATATATATATATAATATAATGATATAATTATATATATATATATATACATACATACATCATCCACATATATATATATAATATAATGATATAATTATATATATATATATATACATACATCCACATATATATATATATAATGTAATGATATAATTATATATATATATATATATATATATATAGAATATAATGATATAATTGTATATATATATATATATACATACATGTATATATATGATATAATATAATGATATAATTATATATATATATATATATATATATATATATATATAATATAATTATATATATACATACATCACATATATATATATATATATATATATATATATATATATATATATATATATATATATATAAATATAACTATATAATTATATATATATATACATACATCCACACACACACACACACACACATATATATATATATATATATATATATATATGAAAAAAAATTTGGAAAAAACAAACAAAAATCCTTAAATGCAATTATGTTGTTTAAAATGAATGAAATGTCGACGTCTGACGTTTCGGTTTAATAAACCTTTTTCAAGACAATATTCATTAAAATACAATTCAGTTGACAAAGACGATGGACATAAACAACAAGTCTTATCCAAAACAGATAACTGAAAATTTTTAAACTGATCAGCTTTCCGTTTACCATGGTCACGTTGTCGTCACATGGGCGACGCTTTCAAAACGTATTCCTAAAAATTTTTGATTATTTTGAATGAAAAAGAAAATGAAAAGAATTCTATTAGGATCTAAAATTTTTATTTTATATATATCAACCTACAACAATACCAATCTCAGGTGAAAACTAATTACTAAATAAGTAATCAGAACTGCAGACACGAAAATAATTTTATAATACGTTACTTAAAAAAAAATCTAAACAAATACTTTGTAAAATATCACACTGAAAAATGCAAGTGTATGCAGTCGATACAACACAGGGAATGTAATATACTTTAGACAAAGGCAATACTTTAACGTAAACAAATCTTGCGTAGCGTCTTGATGAACAGTTGCATAATATCGTGATACTTGCAGTGCCATGTTGCGCATGAAAAGGTGTCCCTGCATGCACCTCAGGTGGGCAACATTGAGGCCACATTATGTTGCAGTCTGCGCCAGCTCCTTTCTGTCCATGTTACATACGATGATCTTCTGCTACTATTACTTTCGGCCTTTTCATTACCAGCGTAACTCAACCTGGCCATTAACAATCAAATAAATAAACCTAAACCAGCTCTAAAAAAATCATCTAAACCCTTTAACATTTCCTTTTCCAACATCCGTGGCATTCGTACCATTTTCTACAGTGTGGAAACGTTCATTGTTGAGAAGTCTCCTGATATAATAGCTCTCTGCGAGACTAACCTTAACTCGTCAAACCGTTCTTCGGATTTCTCGATTCCCGGTTACCTTCCTCTCCTTAGAAAGGACTCTAAATTTCACATGCATGGCCTGGGAGTTTATACCGGCGACCACCTCCTACTGGCTAGGGAATTCTCTCTTGAATCACCAGGCCATTCATATATGTGTCTGCCTCCTCAATTCAGTAAGCTATCTCCTCTTTCTCGATTGTTCTTCCTCCCAAGACTGTGGTGCACTCGATATCATTTCCGATAATATAGACAAGGCTATCTCTCTACATCCGTCTGCACACATATTCGTGTTCGGTGACGTGAACGCCCACCATACCATGTAGCTTAAACACTCTGTAACTGATCTCGCTGGCAAACAAACCCTTAACTTTTCAACAGCACAATCCCTCACTCAAGTGGTTGACTTTCCTACGTGATTCCCAAGTAAGCCTGATGGTAATACTTCCCTTCACGATCTCAGTTTTACCTCCGTCCCTGAATCTTCTCGTGCCACGCAGCTCTGCCCTCTTGGTAACTCTGATCATACGGTAGTGTCTGTTAACGTCTCCTTCTTTCCCTTTCCCCAGCAAAGAACCTCCTACTAACAGAATATCTTTCTGTTATCAACGAGCAGACTGGGACTCGTTCCGTGATTTCATTCGCGACGTCCCCTAGAATGTGGTTTTTAATCACTCCGTTCAAAAATACTTTAAAGTCAATACTTTAAACTAAAAAAATAAAATAACTAACGCATAAGCGAAAAATAAATAATAAACAAACTAAGAATGCACATATAAACACATGTACATGTAATCAGTCAGTCAGTTATATGCCATGCGTGATACACGCTTAGGCGATCATATATCTTTCGATACATGACTGACGAGGCAGATTTTTCCCCGAAGTAGGTTAGAAATTACCTTACCGGATACGATATTAAAGTTAGCAGATATGGACTTCGAAAGACGTGAACTTAAGATGCGCATTTATCGTCCTGTTCACACTCTTCCCGGATTTCTTAAACTGTATAGGTTTATCACTTGTTTCTTGTTTAGGATTGGGTCTCCGATTCCTTCTAAAGTCTTTTTTTTTAATTCTCTTTCACTCGCAGTGAATTGATAAAAAAATAATAGAAACAGCATGTCTCTTTTGAGTATGGATCACAGATTTTCTTTCTGCAATGGAGCCCAGTTTCGATGTCTTTACTTTTGATTTTCCATACTGCCACTTCTAGTTCATGCACTTGATTTTCCATATCAACAAATCTTGTTCATGCACTTGATCTTTTCTCTTCGACTGTCCACCCTAGTGTTTTGTTCTGCTGTTCTATATATATATATATTTCTTTATTATGGCATGCATTTTGCAGTTTCTGTGAAGTGATACCAACAAAAAAATGAATGATGCCTACAGTGCAAAGATAAGTAAGATTTTCTATCGTAACATATTGTGAACTAAACAAATTAAACTAAAAAACAACTGTTAAAGGATTAAAAATTTTCACGGATTTTGATGTAATTCTGGGTCATTTTTTCCGTCCAAATCCATGAATTTGTTTTGATTACGCTAAGTATTGAAAGAAAAAAACACTGTATAAAATTCACTATTCTTTATCAATGATATTGAATGTGTTAAAATTATTAAACTTTTTAACAAGAAAAATCGATTAATTTACAGTGTAACACCCGCACTCAGTTCGCATTAACATTTCCAGAATACTTACATTAATGTTTAATTGTACATGCTCCATTCGAATCTGGGTTGATAAATCTGATAAAATCTACCGTTTTGGAGTTATCGACAGTGAAAATTTGGATTTTTTCGCGTCGCGGGCTGCCATTACTTGCGTCGTTTGCATACATTCACTGCAGAATAGCTATCAGTGTATGTATCATTGCACAAACTGAGCTTGTGCACGTAAATAGTTCTCGTGCGCAGTAACTGAGACAAATAGAGAAAAGAAAGCTTAGTTCCGAGCTTAGCTTTACGTAGTCTTCCGCGTTTAGCTTTCCGCAGCGAATATATGCAAACAACGAGAGTAATGGCTGCCGCCAAAGACGCGATTGAATCCCAAATTTCACTGTCGATAACTACAAAACGGTAGATTTTTATCAAATTTATCAAGCCAGATTCGAATGGATCATGTACAATTACACATAAATGTAAGTATTTTGGAAAATTTTAATGCGAACTGAGTTCGGGTGTTATACTGCAAATTAACCGAAAAATCTCAAGTTGATTTTAAAAATTGCCACAAACATTGTTGATTTATTTAATACGGAATGACATGTTTATAATTTGCATTTAGACATGTTGCACTTATTTTCAATTTTTCTAGTTGAATTGTTCACCTATATTGCATATGATCGATTATTTTACATAATTATGTTACAATAAAATTTGTATTTTATCTTAATACTACCATACGAAAATTGAGATGTAGTAGAGTGTATGGGGGGGATCATAGATTCGGCGTGGGCAAAAGACTCTTGTACCAAACTTGTCCATTGGCTAATCTTTTTATTCCATTCTGAACGATATAGATAATCTTACCTGTCTACATGGTACAACGACGGTGTCCTCGAAATATCTTACCTGATAACACAAAGACCACGAAACCCAGAATGGTCGCGTTGTATCATATTATAGTGGGGAAACTCACCTGTTGGTTGGAGTGCTGATCACTTACCACAAATTGGCGCCATTATTCTTTAATGTTCTTCTTGGTTGAATTAATACAATGCAATGAAGGTTAAATGTAGTTTGTTGCCGGGATGCGTGCCGTCGCATAATCTACGATGGCGGCGTCAGCTAGGCGAGATGGTGGTGATGTTGAAAGACCCGAGACGATCAAGAAACTCGGTGTTAACATCACTGATGACACACGCCAGCACATCTTTGTGATGTATTTTGAGATTTTTAGATAGAGATTTATTCATTGTTCCTGTAGTAATTCTAGATTATTATTATTTTTTTACAGGGAAGTGTTGTTAGTACGACAAATCAACCTCTCCATTTCTCAACCAAGAGAAGCTTTTAAAAATAATTGCCATGTACATTTACCATTCGTTTGTATTCTAATGCAAATTCCAATCAATGTCTAAATATAAGAAAATTTCAAAGAAAGTGATTTTCAAAATAGGTTCTTAAGAAAAGGTGAATAAAAGTAAAACAGCAGAACAATTCCAAGAAGGTATTTATTTTTTATGGCTTATCAACTCTTTACATGCTATTCAAAACCATAAAATATTTTTATATTGTAAGAATTTTTTGAAAATAATAATATTTTTACCGTTAAAAGTTCTACTATTTAACCTATACCTAGGAGGCTTATAGCCACATTACGTTTAAGAAACGGTTCCCGTAAGATCACCGGTTAAGCAACATTGAGCCTAGTCAGTACCTAGATGGGTCACCGCTTGGGAATACCAGGTGCGTCAAGCTTGAATTAGAGGGTGGTGTAATGGATAACGACTCCGAATTATTAATCGAAAAGCCAAGTTCCAATTCTAGTCGGGTTCGTTATAACCACTTACGTGCAAATACTCTTGAGAAAGGCATGAACCCGCCTCTTCTACTCCCAGTTCTGGGTTAATTAGTGATACATGTAGCACTAAATCATTACTATCTCCACAAACATTCTCATAATCTAAAAAAAAATGTTCTGGCTTTAAATAACCAGCAAAAGGTTGGTAAGCCGTAGAAAATAGATAAGACGATTCGAACCATATCTAGAGGAGCGGAAAACGTGGGTTCATGCCTTTTCCAATGTTATTAGTACGTAAGTGAATATAACGAACCTGACTGGAATTAGAACTCGGTTTTCCGATTTACAATTCCGATCCGTCATTCATAAGATCACCCAAAACTCCAAACTTACAAACACCCAGTATTACCACGTGGTCACCCATATAGGCTGTGACCAGGATCGTTGTTGCTCCCAAAACAAAGAATCTTCAGAAGAGACTAAAAATTATAGTTGCTTTTTATCGTAACAATGGCAACTGTAATGGCAATATAAGCCGTTTCCTTATAAGGAAACATTTGACATTCACTGACACAGCAGCTAGTATTATAAATATTTCATAAAATATTTTTTAAAAACATTTATCAAGTCCAGTACTGGTTATCACTCTTTCCAGGATTGGTAATGAGAGTTAACCGGATCTGTATACACCTGCTGATGGCCGGAGGGTACAACGGCCAAAACGTTGTGGTAACAAGAACAAAGATGAGGTTAACAGTACTCAATAATGCAAATATTGGTACAGGATGTTGATTTTCTGTTCAAGATCATTCTTATCCCACCTAGGAATACCTATATCGTCAGCTTAGCGCCCCGCTCATCCGTGCATTGCTCTTGGGTGGCAAAATGGTCTTTTATTCGTAGATTTGGTATGAGGTATGGAATGATTAAATGGCTAGTACGCATCTCTTGCCATCTGTGCTTGAGAATAAAGCATAGTCTAGGTTTGTTTAGGTTTCGTTTGCTTTGATTTGGTTTGTTTTACGGCATATCAACTTCAATGGGTTATTTAATGCCGACAAAATTTTTATTGTTGGTAATATATTTTTTTTCAAAAATCTATTTCTGGTAATACTTTTTCTTTCAAAAAATCTATTTCTGGTAATACTTTTTCCTTCAAAAAATCTATTTCTGGTAATGTTTCTTCCTTCAAAAAATGTATTTCTGGTCATATTTTTTACTACAAAAAACTTATTTCCGGTAATATATATATATTTTTTAAAATCTATTTCTGGTAATATTGTTTCTTTCAAAATATCTATTTCTGGTAATATTATTTCCTTCAAAAATCTATTTCTGGTAATATTTTTTTCAAGAAATGTATCGCTGGTAGCATTTTGTTTTTCAAAAATGTATTACTGGCAAAAATGTTTTTCTTCAAACATTTATTACTAGTAATAGATATTTACAAAGTATTTCTGGTATTACAACCTATTTTTACACTTTCATAGAGGGTTGACCCCAGTTTAAGGGTTAACTATTTGCCCATAGCTGGGACCCTAACAGGTTCTACCACTCCGGGTCAGGGTGTACCTGGAAACACCAGTAATTAATGGATGATTCCACGCTCCTCAAAACATCCTGATCCGAGGCCTTTCTGTTGGACGCAGTTTATCATCCTGATCCGAGGCCTTTCTGTTGGACGCAATTTATCATGATACCATAGTCTAGGAAGAGATTTAATCGATTAGGGATCTCATTTCCTTAATGTCATACACCTGATGTGGTTTGAAATGTTTCTATATAGAGCTTCACTCCAAACACGTACGTTTTGCTTTTACAAACAATGTTCCTTTATTAGATCGATGCATTCAGTGAATTCGAATCCTGGAAGGCTGTTTCTAATCACTGAGAAGACGAAGTCTCTATTGATGTGGTCATGTGTTGCTGTGAGATCAAAATAGCAGGTATACAATCTTCTATTGGAGAGGTATGCAATTTCCTGGGGTTGTTCGATGACACATGCCGTCATTACATCTATTAACAGAATGAAAATCAAACTTGGTTGTGAAGAGTTGACTTTCATAAAAGGACGATAGCCTTGTTGATTTAATGTTCATGAAATCTTTCACTCCAATGGATCCAATGGATATAATTTTGTACATTGTGAACCGAAAGTCTTGTCACGCCTATATAATATAATTTTCTATTTCAGACGGCTGACACGAGCTCCTACAGTTTGGAAGAGAGCCTGCTTTCAAGTGTATGAACACAAGATCGTGTTCATTCTGGAGAAGCGATGGAGGACGTGCGACATGACTTCATTAATATTACTATTGTTCTTGTTATATTTTTGGTAGAAGGTGACCAGACTATCGAACCACGCTGTATATGTGAGGGTATTCAGGTTTACCCTTTTGTTTCCGTTTTTTCAATACATTTCTTCCTTGTTATTAAATACGCAGAGAAAATCTTCTTAGGGTGACGTTTTCTTACTATCAAAGGAACATTGGCGTTCTGAGATCCTTGAAGTAGCATTAAAAAACAATTTATACACTGCATTCATTTTTTTTTTTGGTGGGGGGGTTCAAATATACTAATTGCAGTATCTGTCTATATTTCTGAGATGAGGTATTAAGTACACTATTTACATTATTCGCACTATTGTCCGCATCTTTGTTAGTTAGATCCAGTGACAGGACATAAAGAGTTCAATACCTGGTTAAGGCGGTGAGGAACTTGGAGAAGGGAATTAACAGGAGATAACTGATAACTGACATCCATTAGACATGGCACGTGGAACTAGAACTATCTACACCAGTGAGCGAAATAAAGGCCGGAACGTACAACTGTCAAAACGTTGTAATAAATATGGCGACAAAGATGAGGACAATAGTCCGAATAATGTAAATAGTATACTAATTTCAGTTAATCCTGTGTAGATTTTCTCTTTTTTGAAAAAAAAAAACAACACTTTTTAGCTTTGATATCCGGATCATACAGCCTCAATAGAAATATCACCAACTATTAGTCGTTCTGACAAGGTGAAATATACTGCTTATCAAAAAATATGATGTGTTGCGTATTGCAATACCAACTTCATGTTATCTCTCCTTATCCTGAACAATTCAAACTAAATTCTATCCCAAAAGGGCAAAGAAGTCACAACCAAATTACCAAACTTGTTGCATACAGACAATATCGAGGTTTACTTTCTTGCATCTTCTAAAAAGGAATTGCACCATGAAATCTATAGATCCTCATTAGGCGTAGCTTTTCCTATTTTGCACATGAAAAACTTTTAATATTTTGATATTTTAGTCAAGAAGGTGTATTTGAATAGCCAAAGATGCCTTCTAAACACTAAGCAGGGTAATAAGAAACGGGAAATTTTCTTTAAGAACAAAGAAAAGAGTAATGAACTGTGATATTTGAGTTCTACATGGCAGTGAATGTTGGACCATGTCCTCATAGATGAAGAGAAGACTTGAAGCAACAGACATGTGGTTCTGCAGAAAGATGCTGAGGATATCATGGGCTGAATATGTGAGCAACGACCAAGTTTTAGAGAAAATGGAAACAAAAAGGAAACTTACACTTAACATCAAGAAGAGACAATTGAAATTTCTGTGGCACATAATGAGGAAGAAGGGTTTGGAAAATCTGATGCTCACAGAGCAGACAGAAAACAAGAACGACAGAGGAAATCAACGCATAACATACTTAGGTTTCTAGAACAATTACGACTGTGTAGTGAGTTAGATTCTCACTGGGTGCCCCATACATTCGGCTTTGTGCCACATCTAAGCTACGCTCAGAAAACCGCCATAACATAGTGAGCTTAAGAAAATGGATAGCGGAAAAAAGTTTAGGATAAATAACAAAAGGACAATATTTAAGAGCTACAAAGGACAAGAAATTGTGGAGAGTCATGATCGTCTCCGTCCTGTGACACAACACATAAAATGAATAAGTTGATAGGTTAAGTAGCTGACTAGACCTTTCCTTAGCAGTAGCAGATTCTTCGACCTCCGCCTGGTGTGTCACCGGGGGACATAATCGTTGCTAGCCCGCCTGACGGTGTACAACTATAATTTTAGGCGTTCTCATGAGGTCAAAAGACTTGGTTTTATATGAAAGTTTCCTTCTCCTTGATAAATGAGTATTTTCGTCGGCCATTTTGTTTTATTTCAGAATTTACCTACTCCAAGATGGAGTAGCATCATTACAGAGGGTGTTCATCTTACACACACATAATAGTTTATATCTTAAGTGATGCAACTATCCGTTGATAGGCATATAAATGAAGTACATAATGTTTTAACTTTGTATAAATTTCACACAGTTCTATCTAAGCAAAGGAAATGAAACATCTAAACTAATTTAAAAGTAATAAGTATATTTGCTAAACTGTTTCATAGAAGAAAAAGTAAAGTTCTATTTTTTGTTTTTAATTCAAAAACTCTTATCTCGACTGTACATGAGTTAATATTGATATAAAGCAAATCACAATTATATTCGTTAACAGACAAATCGTTTGGCTGGTTTCAGAGAACCACGAATTTAAAAAGTAAATACACTTTCTCCTTCCTGTGGTGAATGAGGGAAAAGGACCTAAAAGTGCAAATTAATAACAATCATAAACGCTGTGTCAGAGAAAAAAAAAGTTCTAATGGTTAAGTGCAACTTACTGAATTGTAATGGCGGACATAAATTTACATGACAGTTTAAACTCAGTAACATAAATCATACGGATAAATTAAAAAGAAGAAAGTGAAAATATTTTTCAGACAGTGGGCGTTGATGCTCACCAATGATGGAAATTAAAAGACAGTGGAATATACAAGAAATATTTCTGCTTGATGCTGAATCAATTGAGGAAATCTGGCGCGCCTGAAACACTATGAAACAGTATTGTAAAATGATTGAAAGAACTCGAATTTCAAACACATCATGGAATATACAGACAT